ACGCAATGACCGGGTGGAAACTTCATTCGGTGATCACGTGTTACTATTTTTACCGACTCTTTACAGTGCAGCTTTCGGTTTGTCTCTGGCCACCGTATCCAACATATCGAAAATGGGTAGAGAGGGACCTTTGCTAAAACCGGAGAAACCAGCCTACAAAGAAAAGCCATATCGCTCGACATTCTGCACATTAGCTATTCCCAACCTTCAAACATCGTTTGAGTTTCCGTAAAAATCAGGTAGTCATTGGCCTCAACGGAAAGTGGCCCTGTGCACGAACTGTCCTAGTAGCACGGGATCTATCAAAAGCTTCAGTCCTACTATCAGACACTGGGAAATCGTCTCATTACCGCCGGAGTTGAAGGGGTTGACCATGGGCTACCTAAATTTCGAGATCAAACATCGAAACTCAGAAAGATTAAACAAGACTACCACCTTCACCAGCTGGACCAAGGAGTACACGTTCAAACTTAAAGTGAAAGTCTATGGCGTCAAAATTCCGACTATAAACAACCCAAAATAACTTGCAATCCGCATACGAGCTGCACCGAATTCCTTAAAGCAGTAGCCAGCAGGACTGCAAGGCAATTTTCCGGACCATAGTAAACTATGATGCATCGATCTGGGACCCTGGGACTACCAAGACGCAGATGAAGAGAACACCGCCTTCTGGAGCGTGACAGAAAACCTGCTGTTGTCACCAGAGCAAAACTTGCACAACCAATTATCAATGTGGACCGCTTTCGGCTGAGTGTCTCCTAAAATTTTGCCAAGGGGTGACATCAATTGAAAAATTTAACAAAATTTTTATTTAAATTAGCACTGTAGCAACATCCGACATGAGATTGAACACCGTACGTGAATTCTTCGCTAGAAGCTTCGTTCACTGCTAGATATACAGCGGGATGAAGGACAAAATAGACTACATAGCCCCAAGGTTCTTCTAGTAAAGAATGTTTGAGGCTAATTTTAAGGAGGGTAGTTAGTGCAGGAACATGCGACCGCCAGTGGAACGTACAACGACTACACGGATGGAATACGCGTCGGGGTCTATTGCGCCGAGCTTCCAGAGTCCTGTAATATTTTCTTGGCCAAAGTCCTCGCTATAAGAAAAGCTGCTGAGATAGCTGATAATACGAAAAACGGTGTAAAAAATATCAATATGGACATCGTATTTCGTTGATGAGGTAGCCAAAAGTGCCATCCGTCTTGCTAATGAGCCAGTACAGGAAATAGGAAAGAGGTTAAGAATGTTATATAATGGGATTTCCTGAAGAGCTAGGGCCGGATCAGGATGACCTGAAACGCAGCAGGGGGAAACCCCAAGTCACAACCAAGTCACAACAACTGTTATCTCATGCAAGCGGGTTTTATTAGCAGTGATATACATACAAGTCTAAGGAGGAAGGCTCATTGAGATGTTAGATAACATCTTCAGTTTCTGTCCGAGCTTCGCAGTTCAGGACTTATGGAGTCTATAAAACTGGTTATAAAGGGTGTCTGAACTTCTCGAAAAGCGTTGACGTCTTATGCGAGGACTACTTTAGATCTTAATAAAATAGACCTTCATCTGCCACTACAAAGGACCAACGGATCTATGTAAGCCGCATCTGCTGGCCAGTGCAACCTATCCTAATATATCCATAATTCTATACAGATAGAAGTCACCCAAAAAACATTAGAATCCTCAACAATTTGGCTCTTTGTTAGAGATATTCGTATGCCTTACGAGTTCCTAGAACCTCTTGGCTGTAAGATGTAGATAGAATAGCCTCTGAATCGAGTTCTAGCAGTAAATATAATATATAAACTACTGGTCTTACGGACAGATTTCTCTTGCAGAAACTCATAAGTTCAACTTCAGTCAACAGATAGTTTTGGTTATTTTTGGAGACGTGAAACCTATTACCGGGGCGTCTTTTCTCCTCCACATAATTTATATATTGCACTTGGACCGGAATGCGAGACTCTTCTTCGTGCCGGGTGCAAGTTCTAAATATATGTAACCCGAGGTACCGTGAAAATCCGTCTCTTATGATATCTTTGATGAGTTGTTGATGAGCGCACTCAGAACGGTGAACCAAGATGAATATATACTTTGTAGGGAAAGGAGTTTTTTTAGCGCTGACAATGTCCAATGAACTAAAATTTTTGGATGAAATCTCGAGCTATCTTTGTAGAGGACCGAGAACGCTCAACAAACTTAAGCCCATTATAGGAAGTTTTCTCAAGAACTCGAGGCTGAACTTTCATCCTGTATTGCTGTCGGAGGGAAATCAACAGACACGATTCTGAAGTAATGGCGGAAGTTCGCTTTGTACATTCAAAAAGGGCTTTTGGATGACTTTCTTCTTTTCTTCTGCCTGGAAGCTGGCTTAGGTCAACCATATATTAATAAATTTCCTATCTTCACATTGTGTACTCCTTCGCAGCTCATGGATGATGGTGATGTTAGTCGTTATTTTCATGAGGAAAACATCAGAACTTGCAGTGAGAGCTGAGAGCTGTTCGAACCCTCTGAGCTAAAATCGTTCCTAACCGTTTTGTTAAGCCTTCCATCCTCCTCGGCTTACTCAACCGAATTTACGCATGCAAAATTACTAAATGAAAAAAAAAAATGTGATTCTGTCAAAATTGCAATATCAACGGGGAGGAAGTGGCATGTAAATTTTTATGATTGCAACACGCAGTCACGGTAACGCCACGGGGCAACTTCTCGTACGTGCATTCATGCATTTCACATTCGTGATGACGCGCGTGCTCCGTCTCCGCCTCCGCCTCTGCCGCAAATCGTTATTTTCTTTTGTCTGCCGTTGATGCTACCGCTACTTCTGTTGCTGTTGTTGTTGTTGTTGTTTTTGTTGGTATTGTTACAATAATTTTGGTAGTGGGTGTTTATTGTTGTTGTCACATTTCCATGTGGTATGCACACGACCGTCTAGCCGAAGTCTAGACGTGTTAAACCAAAAAAAGCAACAATGCGGTGAATGCAGAAATATTATATACAGCAACAACAACAAGCACAAAGAGAACAATAGATAATCATCAGCTCAGAGGTTTGAAATGTTGGAAATAATTCTCGAAAATGTTAACCAATAATTTGATAGGTTCACAGGTGCCGAATCTTTGTACTATGGAGGAAGGTTTTGAAAATAATCAATGGCGTTCCGAGTCTTTGTTTTGACCAGTCATACTCAACACCCCATTCCAGAACAATAAAAGAGGCCACATCACCCAGTTGTAAAGGGGTTAGCAAGTCAGTTGGCGTATGGCGACGATGGGCGTCAACGAAAATCAAATGAAAATATACATAAAGATTGGAGTCTAAGAGTGCTGTGCCTAAACTTGGAATTGTAGAGCTCTCGTTAACTTCAACACACATTCTATCCCTTTCGTTATACCCGAAATCTTGGAAAAGGATTAGCAGATACCACCTTTTTACCGACTTTGAAGCCGTTCCCGGCAGCATGGAGTCGCCTCTATGTCGCTAAGTCTGATATTGGCAGCACCGTAAGGTTCATGCGGGTATGTAAACTGAACCGCAAGAAAAGGGAATGACCTCTCCGAGGAGTTCAGTATCTAACAAATTTCTAGAGAAAGAAACCAAAACCTACAACCCACTAAAGAGCAATAAAGTTTGCCGATATCAATAAGATAATCTCAGGAACACTTTTATCACGTTCGAACTAAAAGGCGAGGCGATCGGTATTACATGACAAGCAAAGAGTGAGAGTTGGTGTCATGTGGGGCATCATCGCTTGCGGAATATGATACGTCTTGAGATCGAGTTGGGGGAAGTACGAGTTGAGTGTGTTACAATAGTTTATATAGATTAAATTCGTTAAGGACTACGCGGATTTCACGTGGCAGCTAGAGCTTTTCGCCTGCAATGAACGAAGGTTGAATTCTAAATAGACCAATCACCGGAAGGAATTGTAGCCGCCTTAGTTAAGTGCTTCTGTGGATGCTTTTTAAAACTTGACCAGTGGTTCTGTTGCACTCCGATGGATCGGCGTACAGACGTCTTGGTTCGTCTGTGGTGCAGTACGGAATCAAGCAGTTATCTGCAGAAATTATCTCTTTTTCAACTTGTAGATTAGATATCTCGTTGGGCACATAAGAAAGGGAGTACTTGATCTAAAGGATCGCATTCAGCACCACCTACAACAATTGCTGGACAGGATGGCTTATCGACCATTAAACGGCATTCACCGAAAGTTCGTCAACACCTTCCGGAACTCTCTTCACGTGAATGGCGTTCTCGGAGTCAAAACACCACCTAATACAGACGATGGCTATAAGGACGACAACAACAGACGATAGCACAACTTAGATCTGGAAATTGTATCAGGTTAAACTTCTACCTCTCCTAAGAAGGTTTCCAGGATCTCCCGTTAGATGACCTCAGTAACTTACATTGACCACAAACTTGTCCCTAAGCGGGGTTAAAGTAGCCACTGCAACAACAACAGACGAAGAGCTCGAGCTGCCTCGCAAGAGACCCTTCTAATACGGGCACTCCTACTAATCCAGACTCAACTGCGATACTCACGTATGTCCTACATATAACGAGTGCCTACACGACTCTAGCCCCATCTTTGCATTCCCCCTAAAACCAACTCATCAAACCCCCCTCTCGCGCTGGTCCCAACCAATCGGAACAACTCGTTTCCTGTACCTAACGTTAGATGACCTCGATGACTTAAAACTGATGTGGACTGCTCCTAAGCGGTAGCCGCTACAACAACAACAAACCCCCTGCGGGTTAGGAGTGCAAGAATTTACCCTCGTTAAGGTATGCCTGTCGTAAGAGGCGACTAAAATCCAATAGTTCCCGCGATAGTCTGGTCTTTATACCGGAACGACCTGGATTTTTATCCGCCCAAGGACTGTCATTTCCGCAACATTCCCCAAAAGGTACTTTGGGGAATATTTTTGCGGTTACAACAACAACAACAACAACCTAATCATGCTAATTTACATATACAATATATAATTTTGTTTTTGGTTTTTTCTTTCAATATATACAAATATATATTTCCTCAATTAATTTAATAAGTAGCCTTAACATTAAACTATTATTAAAGACATATATCAATTTCTTATTACATTAAGAAACTAAAACCTTCACTTTTATATATACATTTTAAGGCACCCTAAGCTGTGCCGAATTTCTTTTGTTTAAAAACGTCCGGTAATTGTTCTATTAATGTAATTGGATTTACGCCAACAGCAACCAATTCATCCGAGCTCAGCCAGCATAGCGATATTAAGTGCTATAATTAATAATAAAAATAAGTTTAAGTCAGCTTTTCTTAAAAAAAAAAATTTTAATCTCTATAATTACCTCATAGGACTTCTTGAATTTCAAACGTAGGCTACTAACTTTGCTGTCACTGATAATACGTTTTAGTTTCTTTCCACTTTTCTTCTTTGGCAATACCAGCGCATCATCATCATGTTCATCATGATGTCCCAAGTCACCATTTGTAGCCGCAACTTTCTCCAATACATACAGATACGCATCGTTATGCAAAATAATATTATTCGTATTTCGAGTGTCCAATAGAATATTTGTAACACAATGCGTTTCAGCATTCTCCACGAAGTATTCACTCTCTGAGCAGGTAAAACACATCTCCTCCAAATCGTATTCAATGATTTTGCCATCAGAGAAAGCCGCTACCAGGCGCGCCTCCTTTGCGTGAATAGCTATGGCCGTCGTTATGGCCGAGTAGCGTGGCATATTCAGATGGTGTCTGAAATGTTTACCCTGGTATATACTCCATACTGCGATAGTACGATCCGCACCAGCTGCTACAATGTATGTACCACACTCCGAAACGGCGAACAGGCTAATGACGTCCCTAATGTGTTTAGCGGTTTCTATGGTTTCGATAAAATCTAGATCTGTACTGCCATTATTAACTATTGAGAATACATGTATTTGACGTGTGTCGGGATGGACGAGGAACAAACGTTTCGAATCGCTGCTGAACGTTACATGCGTAGCCGCTTTAAATTGTTCTGGCAGGCCTCTGATGCGTACCAGTTGTGTATCATTTTTCCCCGTCACTGCCGACACGAAGCGGAAAAGACGTATATTCTTTTGCGTCGAGTAACACAGCCACTGACCGTCAGGCGATATTGTTGCACAAACAATGGGTTCCTCTTTTTTACTTTTAAATTCTAAAAGTTTTTCGGGTGCTGCATTCAAAGCAAGTAGCCCACGCTCTGGTCCATTGCTTTTATGTTTCGTTTCATTTCCTTTTTTATCATCTGCAAGCGCTACCAGCTGTGGTCTACCGTCCGTAGAGCCTAGACGCCAAATTTCAAAATAATTTGTATAACGAAGCAGCAACAGACGATTCTTCGTGGAAACAGCCACGCAGGGATTCTGAAAGAAAAACTCAAAAAATTGCTTGCAAAATATAGTGTTTGTTAAATTACTCACCTTTAAAAAGGGCCCATATTTAGAGATTGTCGAGCTACGTTTTGACGCGGACGAAATACCTAAATAGCCATCCATGCCACCAGAGAATATGCGATCTCCTTCACATGCGAGCGCTTTCACATCGTTGTCATGCACACTTCTCTGCAGAAATTTTACCCAGCAGTGATATTCTATTTCTTCTCGTTTGATTTTTGTCTTCGCATAAATTCTAATTATTGGTTCTATACCTGAGCACATTAGCATGTTTTCCTCTTCGTTGACAGCAACTGTGAGCACGTCGGCTTTAAGCACTTGATGTGATTCCAAATGCGCTGCCATTTTTCCATCCCAAACAGAGACTTGTCCACGAGAATCACCCGCTATAATTGTGAAATCACTTAACACTTGTAATGACCACACTATCACATCTTTTCTCTTATCACGCGAGACTGTCATTTTATGCAAGGCATGACCACTCTTCACATCCCATATCCTTATAGCACTCACAGAACCAGTCACCAGAAATTCACCCGAGCGATCGAATTTACAGCAAAGTACACGCCCTTCCTGCTTATCAAATAAGTTTTTATATTGCATCTGATCGTTATCAATGTCGAAAATATTGATGTAGCCCTCCTCTGTACCAATAGCCAAATCAGTTCCAGTTGCATTCACATCAACGCACCATATAGCATTGCCAGTGGCAAACTGCTTACGTCGTGGTTTTAGCAATAGCAAATCCCACTCCACTAATTCGCCAGTAAGGCCGACGGAGAATAAACGCTCACCAGCCCAGACCATGCCTTCCACAGAGTTTCCGGGAGATTTGGGTATTACTTTTTCCAAATAGGATGCATGCTGGGTATCCCATATTTCAATTGAACCATCACTCCTTTAAGAAAATTTGTATTTAATATATTGTCGCACATTTAAAATATGGTTATAATCACCTCGATATCGCTAGCTTATGCCACAATTTATTGCAGGCTATGCTTTGTATAGACCGCGGAGTTAAATTATAAAAACGCACATTATGAGTTTTTGTGCGCTCACCACGAGCGATTCCTCCATTCATTTTTGTTTTCAATGAATATATTACAAATTAATAATGTGCAAGTAGTTAAAATGCGGTTCAAATGATAATAAACAAAATGTCAACACGTGCACTTTCAAACCAGCGAAAAGTTTGACAGTTTACGTTCACGCAAGGTTGCATTACAAGTCTATGTTGATTTTATAAAATCCTTGCTAAATGCTGTTCACACTAAGGATTTAAATTTTGTGCATCGCATATAAAAAGTAGTACCATTTCCTCTTAAAACTTTAATATATGATTAAAGAGAAATAAAACTAAAAGACAATATCAAATGTGTAGAAACTCCTGAATTAATATTATAAATAGGGGTTCCAGTAGAAGAGAAATAAATGTTTGCTTATTTAACCCAGGCATTGTTTAACAAGTTTTAAAATAGTGTAACGATTTTACTAAATACTAAATAGTTGTAACGAACTATACACCAGGTTGAAAAGTGAATCCTCAAATATGTGTGAGCTAAATTATAGTGCTTCCTTCCCAGGCTAAGTACTAACCCTATGATCTGCAACGTTTTCACATCCTAATCCATCATAAACAGCCCACTTTGGGTTTCAAAAATAAACTGACTACTTGCAAGAGGGCTTAAGTTAGCCATTTTATACAAATTATCGGTAGTTCGTAAATTTTTATGAAATTTTACATCGAAAGATATTTATATCTATATTAACTCTTATCTCTTTGATATGTACGTCAACATTTGAAAGAAAACATATTTTCTGAAGCCCATTTATAGCTTAATAGGAAGAAATCAAGAATTTCTAATATTATTCTGAAGGGAAATGTTAGCCAATAAGTTATTTTCACATTTTCACAACAGCAGTTTTATGTAAACCCGAATACTTTGGAAGTAGCACATCCCTAGGGATATGTCAAAATGTACTTGACAATTGTAAAATTTTCATTTTGTATATCCCATAATTGACAAAAATTTGCGCATATAGATAATATATTAATGTGGATTGCTAATTGAATTAATCATTAAAGAAATAGAATTAATAATAAAATAAAACACGGGTTCATGCTAATTAGGTTATATGAAGTAGATAACATGAAACGATAAGAGTTGGAAAGCTACATATGATTTCGAGCTGTTTACTTCAATATTATTATTATAGGGATTGATATAAACAAATCCATAAATAAGGGCGAAATGCTTTGGCATACTACAAAAAGCAATGGCCAAAGTGCCTCATTGTGGAAGCCGCTTTTTAGTAAGTTTTGCAATGTTCGGGATATTTTTATTCACTGTTTGTATAAACTTACGTAAATTTCTAGTGCTGCTAACCATATTCGCCACACCTCTCACATACGCCGCAAATGCTGAGGCTGCGCGTGTACTTGAATTAAGCGATCGTTTCCTGGAAGTATACAATCAAGGACAATGGCTGGTTATGTTTTATGCACCATGGTGTGGTTACTGCAAGCGTACTGAGCCCATATTTGGGCAGGTCGCACAAGAGTTGCATGGCCTTAATATACGTGTAGGAAAAGTAGATTGTACACGATTTACAAATGTTGCGCGTGAGATGCAGATACGTGCCTACCCAACCATTATGTTCCTCAAGGGAAATGCCAAATATGTGTATAACGGTGATCGGACCAAAGAAGATTTAGTAGATTATGCATTGCGTATGAGTGGGCCGCCCGTGCAAATGGTGACACGCCCCGAAAGTATTGATATGCTTAAAGGTTCGCATACAATTTTCTTCATGTATGTTGGTGATCAGCAGGGTGTTATGTGGGAGTCATATTATGCAGCAGCAGAGAATTATCAACAATACGGATTCTTTTATGCAACCACACCTGATATAGCATCCCAGCATTTCGAGTTTGAACATTTGCCTGCTGTGTTGGTTTACAAAGAAGAACTACATCATTTATACCCATACGCACACGTAGCCCACGAAATGGACGTATCAGCAATTAACGATACTATACATCATTGGGTGAATGTTGAACGGTTTACAACATTTCCGAAAATAACTCGTTTTAATATTAAACAAATATTGCTTACGAAAAAATTTTTAGTTGTTGCCGTTGTAGAGGAAGACAAATTGAATCAAGTTGCTACACATGAATTAGAGTTTCGCGATATGGTTGAAGGCGTTATACGTAAACATCGCGATAGATATCATGACACATTTCAATTTGCATGGGTGAGTCAATGATATGCTACTATAGATACTTAATTTCAAAATTCTTATCATATGCCTTCATTTCTTTTTAGATGGGCGATCCTAGCTTGGCACACTCTTTCATATTGGATACTTTGCCAACACCGCATCTGATCGTAATTAATTCTACAACTGAACAACACTATATACCAGATGATGAGCCTCTTAAGATGACGCCACAAGCAATACATGTCTTCCTCGAATCCATTCATAATGAAAGTGCTACGCCACTTGGCGGTGATACCTATTTTGTGCGCATAAGGCGTGTATTCTTCGAGGCCAAGAAAGGTTTGCTCGATATGTGGAAGGGTAACCCTGTACTTACAACAGTCATCTTTGGCTTGCCGTGTGGCTTTTTATCGCTCATTTTATATTCCATATTCTGCGGCGATTGCTTTGTGGCAAACGACGAAGATGATGACCACGAGAAAACGGAGTGAATTTCATTTAGAATGCATTATGCTCTTAAAAAACATTGTTTACTAGCTTTACATTATTTCTAGTCTAATTGTGTCTGTTTATAGTATAATTTATGTCTGCCATATACTTTTATTTAATGGTCACTCATATTGACTCCAAACATCAATATGCCAAATAGTGGGTGTAGTCTATAGTAAAGTGTGCCAGTATTACTGACTCAATTACATTCCAATATTTGTTTGGATGCAATATTTAAAAATGTTGTTTTATCCATAGAAAACACGTATTGATGTACTCAAGAGTTTGGCTTAAATACAAAATTTCTTAGTAGTAAAAGAATTTCGACTTGTTTTATTTAATTTTATTCTTTCTATCTTTCTAGCGTTATACATAAATAGTGGTTAGTATTAGGACGAGTAACATTCTCTGCTAATTTTTCATTTATTAGTGAAAGCATAAAAACAATGAGTGGCTTGGCTTTTCGGCGAACTCAGGAAACTTCATAATTTAATATTATTTAGCATGAAATTAATTATCTTGCAACTGACTGAGCAGTAATCGTCAATGTATGATCCAAATTTTACAAAATAAGTCATTATTAATATGACACTGCACATTGAGAATACATTCACACTGGCGCACATTTTCTACGCACAATCAGCAACCATAATCGTCATCATCATCCGAGTCGATGGCGGCACGTCTTCGGTCATATTTAACTGTTGATTTGCTCTGAGGCATTTGTGCATTTACACTCTCGAGTATGCTGACAAATTGTGCATCATCAAGCTTGCCACGCACTTGGCCCATTTGTGCCATGCGTATCACCATGTTTTCGAACATTTGTGCTTTCTCAGGTTTGCTGATTTTAAGCGTATTAACTGTAAATGGATTAAGTATTGTTGTATGTGCTTTAGTACAGATTTCCCTTCCGAAATACTTACGTCGAGCGCGTGCCTGTTGGTCTAGCACTTGCGAAAGTATGGAGTGCTTCATTTCTTCCTGCTGACGCATCTGCTCTTGCTGTGCTTGTTGTTTCTCTGCATTGTTGCCGCCGCTGCCTCCCTAAAACGAAGAATAATGGACGATGATATGAAACCAATACTTACAGCAAATTACTGTTTTTCCATTTCTTGGCGGCCAGTATAACATAATAATTAATTTCTGACCGCTATGTATATTTGACATTTTCATACATTTTTCCCCACTAAACGCTTCACCAAAATTCAGCACCTGTTCCGTTGACCGTATGTCTTTGGTTTCATAAAATACTCACATATTGCTGTTGTAACTGCGCCATGCGTTCAGCACGTAATGCTTCTAAATCATTATCAGCCATTATTTCTGGATTTTAGTTATTTGTTTATTAAATAATTTATAAAATTTGAGGCAAAGGACCACACTTATAAAAAAAGGCAATTCGTCCGATTGGTTGGATTAGTCACTTTTGACATATACGGTACATATGACGGCACTGCCACCCGTTGAAAATTAAATGACATTAAATATTAGGAACGAAATGGGAAAAAACGAAATTAGTTTTTATTCTTAGTTAAATATTTTAGAGATTTGCCATTTTTATACTCGTATTGAAACTTATTTATGACGTGAAGTTAAATCTCCTCATAAAACATCATCAGCCGTTTGGAGGCGGCTTAGTATAAACAGTAGGTCCATTCAGCATTGTAACTGCATCAAGATGCAAAATTTATTTATTTATTTATTTATTTAATAATAATAACAAAGCATTAGTACAATAAGATTTCCATATCTTTTTTAGTCTAACAGAGATAGTGTGAAGACTAAGTAAATATTACTTTACAGATACCTTAACAAAAATAATAATAAAAATAAAAATAAGTATAATATATAATGAGTTGAGTATGACAAAAACTTAAACAATTATTGAATGGTCNTCAAGAAACAAAATCACAAATTGGAGGAGGAACTAGGATGAAAACCGCTTATACAGTTACAAAACGCCAATTCTATTGAAATTCAAGTACATTTTTATGGTGATAATATTCTTCTAAACCGTAGATCTAGTAATTTTATAAATTAATTTAAGAAAATTCATACGACGATGTCTGTCGACCACTGTCCATGGTGGTAATGAAGATCCCTCAATTTTCCTAACACTACGTAACTTTCAGCTTTAAAGCCTTTTGAAGTATACAGCGCCAGATGGTGCGTACCGCGAAAGCGAGAGATATCGGCTGTATGATTAGACTTGAATTTTCGATTTTTGGATTTCGGGTTTTATTAAAGCGATCAGAGGAAGATTGGGGAAGCGTTATGCTCCCCTTTAACATATATGTTTTAGAATCATGCATCCGAAGCATGCCGGTGAGCCGATGAATTTACAAACTTTTACATTTCCAATAACCTCTTCGACATTCTGGGCTTGAACCATATGGGTACCGTGTTTGTCATTAAGACTTTTGCACTCTAGAATGGCGTAACACTTCAAAGCACGATTGCTTCAAATACTTTGCATTAGAGCTGGTGTTGAATCAAAACCTGGTCCGACGACCTATTTCTGCTGCGCGTTCCATTATTTCAACTCTGTCAGTGCAACGGCTGAAGTCATCTTAAGACCACACCATAACATACACAGGGTGTGGACCACGTTTTACGTGGCTCCATGTTGTCAGCGTTTAATCGTGGAGGTCTAAGGATGGTTATCCAAAGTGGGTAGGGATTAATTTTCGTGAATGCTTTGGATATGGTTGATCTCGGGCAACATGGGAAGAACGGTGGTGCCGTCTATGATATATGAAGCATAAATAATCCATCTGATGCTAGTCCTGATGAGAAGGTTTTGAGGCAATTCTGTTGCGAGGACTAGTATTTCCTGATGGCCTGAAAGGTCGCCGAAAGTGTGACATTCGTTGGTCGTATAAAATCTGGTTCAACTCCGATAAGTCGAAGCGGTTGTTGTTAGAATTGACTGCTTAATCATCATTCTAGAGGTTCGTACAATCCAAATAAATGGAAAAAGGAATATGTGTGTACATACATACATATGTATATTTTTTATTTATTAAATAGTATAAGAAGCATTCTCCACGTAAGGTTCTTTTTTATAAATAAATAAAATTAAAATCATTATTTTGCGTTGGAATGATAAAAAGGATAAAAATACATATGTAAATAATACATACTTATACAAAATGCTTTCAGGCAATAGGACGAATAAAGTATAAAGTTTTCTTAACCAAGTCAGTACTAAAAGCAGGTCTCCCGTACAAAGGGGGAAAATATGGAACACTATATCTTTGGAAATATTTGCACTTCACACAAGTAATGGCAATAAAAACAATTATGCGAAGCTCTCTGCTGATAAATGCTGCCATTGGCCCTGTATGTAGAAAAAAATATTATTTTACTTAATTTTATTTTTAAATTAAAAGAAGCAAATTATTACCGGTATGCCCAAATTCCAGCCTGCTCCAGCAGGATTCTCTTTAGTTATGCCACAACGTTTGCACACGACGCCATTGAGTGCGATCGCCCAAACCTCTGAGCCCACTGAGACAGACTTGAAGCCGATATGCGTCTCCGTGTGTGGCGGCATGTTCGGCATATTCGGTAGGAATTGCCAATGAGAACCCTCTGGGAAAGTTTTAGTTATCTCTTTGCGCACTGCCAGACGATTATGACTGTCAAGCGCCCAAATGCCCGCACGTCCCACGGCCACAGTACGGAATGTTGTGCCCGGTGGTGCCTCCACGATTTGCCAAGCCTCACCTGTGTGCATTAAGTATTAATTTTAATGCTTAATATGCGATTTTCCAATATACCTAAAGGATTGTGCTTTGAAATGCCGTAGCGAAAGTAAATCATGCCATTACGTCCAACAGTCCACACCTGCCCCATCGGTCCTACACTAATACCAATCAATGGTTGTTCGCTCGGTATATGCTCCCAACTGTCACCGCGTGGATTGAGCTGAGTCACGCCATGACGTATGAGCACATCACCGTTAGATGCGATTGCCCAAGCTGAAACCGGTAAATCTTCAAAATCACTCAAGCTGTTGGCACTGTCCACATCACACTCCAACACCTGCAGTGCTGCATCTAATATTTTAGAATGGCTCAGCTCTTGCCATGGCCCACTACTTGTTAGACGACATTTCTTCAGCCAACGACGTCTACGTACACAATCGGTGATCTTTTTGTGCGCATGGTACGTAGCCGGAAAGTCAATGGCATACTGCCAGCCCTCCTTATCGGCACCGCCTGGAATGTTAAAGTCCACCACCCAATCCGAAATCCATTCGCAATGTGTTGACAGCAGTTTCGTGTGCTCTTTGCTACGTCTTTGGCGCCCACTTGCGTCACTCCACAAGTGTCTGTCGGTGGGTAGGCTCTTCGTGGTGAAACCACTAATGGGGTTCCAGCGTTGATTCTCATAAACATAATAGGTATGCGTATCAATCATTGGGTTAATTTTCCCAGTGCTACCCTCAAGTCCTTTCAGAAATTGGCCACCCCAGCCTCCATTGTATACCCAGGCCGTGTTGTCACAGGAAATGCCCCAAACCACGCCAGCATGAGTGGCAAATATCCGCTTGATGTGCCCACCAATTTGACGCCAAAACATTTCCTGCATTGAGATGATTAGCGTAGGGCAATGGTAGACGATGTTGAAGAGCTTTACACGTCCACTAACATAAAGACAAGTCACAGCGGCTGGATCTGTGCGATATTTGTAGTCGGCGAAGTGTGTATTATTGATGAATAATTGGTAATGGTGCTCCAAGGCTCTGTACGGAAGAAATTAGTGTAATGATGTAAAAAGGGAAAATCACAAAGTACGATTACCTAATGCGCAGCGTGAAGGTAGCGCCGGGTGCAAAGACCATATTATCATTTCGAATTTCATTTAGCCACTCGGAATCAGTCATGCTGTTGAGTACTATGGTGCGCTCATTAAACCTGTGAATATTAGAACGGATTATTCGTTTGCGGCAAACCAAGCATATTCATCAAATCCTTGTAGAATATCAATGCAAATCTTGAAGGTTACGGCTAGGCGAAGCTTCTACAATATATCAATGAATGAATGACAAACCTTTGGCTTTCGATAATTCGAGATCTAAGTGTGTGATTCAAGCCTCCAACCTGGTTTTGAAGGTGCCTGGCCTGGTTTTAGCATGTGGAATCTTTATCAGTTGACAGAAAGCTCGCTCGCAGAAAGGAGAAAAACCTTAAATGTGTTCTCGAAATTGGCCAAGGGGAAGGATTGATATGTTGTAGACGCCAGCATAGAGCGCTGTGACTAACTATACTTAATCTTGGGGTACAGTTATTATACTGCTATTAAGCGTGTGGAAATGGTCTCTTTTACTTTTCTAATGATGAAATCTTAATGCTAATAAAGGACAGATTTTAAAGAGTCAATATTATTTTCTTTTCAATAAGAGATCTGTCACGCCGCAATACAAGAACGATTTTCGCACCAACTGCAATTAGTCTTCTTCGTGACCTTTGCAGGTACTTTGCTGAGGTATGCACGCATCGGGTGCAAAATTTATCGCGGTCGGTTAGCATTTAGGTGGCTCGGCAGAGGCAGATTAGCTTACTTTTTTGTATCTGGACTTGTGGAATAAGAAGAAAAGTACGCAAAGTCTTATCTTATTAATGCCATCTGCTTCGTAAGAGGTTTGATGGATGGGAAAGCTCTTCTATCTCATAAATCTAATTTATCGTAACTACATACAGTAAGTTCATTGTCCGTTTAAGATTTACAATAATGATATCACTCTACCTGGGATTGATGTGCATTGCAATCACACGGAATTTCTCCACTTTGGGTCGCGTCTTTATATTTGGATGACACTGTAAGTCGAAGCGTATTTGGTCCGCATCATCATACACACAACCAGATATCTCCAATTCAGTTCCGACCGGCATACTGAAACCCAAATTCAAAACTTTAAAAATCTCTACACATGAAATTACATAATTACGTTAACTTACCCGTTGTACAGCGTGTTGTAATAAGGCGTCTCCATGGTGTTTACATCAAATTTCTCCACATATCGATGACGCTCCTTGTCCAATTGGTTTGCCTTCATATTGAGTGGATCGAAGACGAATACCTCACCCAATTCGCTGGTGATCCAAATGGAATTGTTCGCTGGTTTACCGGAAACCTCATTTATTTGACAGCAAACTGAACTGAGATGAGACAACCAATCTTCCATTTCGGCATCGCTTGAAAATTGCAATTTGATCGGTGAGCAATTCGAAGGTAAACGTGGTGCGTGGAGAGCTATACGTGGTGCACTTGGCTCACTGCAGCATTGTACGCAAGTGATGGCGGAAAGTGAGAATTGAATTTTTGTGGTAACGCCATCGGGGTTGAGTACAGTGAACGTACCAGAATCGGAATCTGTACTTGTGTTGTTTGCATCACCACTTGTCGTGCCTGCTGCGCCGCCTCCACTCACCCATTCTAATTCGATTAAGCAATCCTCAAATTCACCACCTGGACGTTGATAACGCGCTTCAGCCGACTTAATCCACGAGGTTAACTCTACAGCTTTTTCATATTTCTCTGGATGTTTTAATTTTTTGAGTACTTCTTTCTGTTTTTGTAGTTTTCCAATAATATCTTTGCGCCAAGGCGCATCTACATCGACCTTGCCATTGCTGGATGTTTGCTCATTGAACCAATTAGGCACATTTGCTGGATCAACGTAAGCACCGCCGGCTGCTACACAGTTCCACATTACTTCACATTCGGTCCAGAACTGTGAACCTGCATGATCCTCATCTTCGCCTAGAAATGCGTCTGAGCCATGGTGAGTGGAATCTGATTCAAACACAGCCGAATCGCTTTCCGGATGCGCTTCAGTGCCTACAATTGAGCCAACGCTTCGCACTGGCGACCAGGCGCGTGGATTCTTAAGCTGCGTTTCAAAATGTTTGCCTGAGATTTCGGTTACTAGCTCTGTGGCTGGTGCACTGGATGCGTGGGTTGCATGCTCACGCATTGCCGAGTTACGTTTCTTATGGCGTTCATTCAAATTCAAGCTACCGATGCTGGGTGGGGAATCAGTTGGGTATTTCCAGAGCTCGCCTTTGAGTCGTGCATGTGCTGCTGCTGTACCAGGTGTGCTGCTATTTGTGGATGCGGGACTTGCGGGCATATTTTCAATGGGTGCGCAAGTCTCGACGATACCTTTTTCCTTGTCTTTGTTATAGAGATTCGAAAAGCTTTGGTGTTTGGATCCAGGTGTGGAGCCGCTGCCACTGCGTCGTGATACAATCGACATTGAACTTGATGTGCGACTCATTTGCATGGGGCATTGTATTTGACGCCATTGTTTGCCAGTTGGGTCAGACGTAGATACGCCTGAACGAAAGTAGAGTGCACGATCCGAAGAACCGACAGCGAATACTTGATCATTGGGCGCTACAGAGATTGACGATATGTTGACAATCAACTCTACCCAACCACTACCGATTGCCGCGTCTTCACTAATGCCAGCCGCCTCGCCTTTAACGCCGCGTCTAAACCAAACATGACTATCATTGGTTACACACCACACCGAGTCGGTGCCGACAGAAACCTGTAGTATCTTAAGGTTAGTGCCAGCATCGCTGCTGCTGATTGGTGGTTTGACATCCAACCAAGCTTCCCCTGAGAGATTTTCCCGTGTGACGCCCGTGCGTACAATGGCTCGCCCATTATAGAGCACCGCCCAGACGAGCCCAGTCGGTCCGACACTGATTTGTGCCAATTCACAACCCGGCGGAGTGTTGATGGCGTTCCATCGAAGACCTTCCGGAGCGTAGGTACTTACGCCGGTACGAAACATTGCCTAAATCAAAATTATGAAGAAGAAGGAATTTAGTATTTGATAAAAAAAAATACATATATTATTTAAGGCCAGCATACCCTTCCATGTGCCGTAATAGCCCAAACAATCATCGTGCCTGAAGCTGCATTTGGCACATTTGTTCCGCCAACAGCAACATCGATGAATGGCTCTTGGGTGGGATCTTTATGCAAAGGTGCTACGGCACACCAACTATTTAACGCACTATAACGACGGAAACGCACCTAAAATAAAAGTTTTGTTAATATTTTTTTTTATTAATTTTATGATTATGCAAGTTTACCCATTTCCTACGACGCACATACGAGTTCCAAGAATTTTTCACTGAATATGTAGCGGGAAAATCTAATGCATACATCCAACCATCTTCACCTAATTGCTGACCATCCATATCCAGATCTAAATGCCACTCCCCATCCCACTGCCAAGCCATTGATGGCAGCCTTATCTTATCAATGTTTCTTTCAACGCTACCATCAGCTGAGGAAAACTTGTAGCGATCAGTTGGTAACAATGTTTTTGAAAAACCTTCAATTGGCAGCCAACGTTCATTTTCATACGACTCCTCCTTGACACGTATGGGTACATCCAGGCCATAAACGTACACATAAACTTGGCGATCACCACCAATGGCCCAAACAAAATGTGGTACAGCGGCGATTTTCTTAAATTCTAAGCCCAAGTAAGGGAATTCTCGCCAGGCAGCAGAGTTTGTCGAAAGCGTGTACACGCGGCCCTCACTATTGGTGGCAAACAGCAGAGAGCTAGGCATGGTGCGGCTGAGTGGATGGAAAAGAATATGAATAAAAACCACAAAGTTCTTAAATAATTCAATTTTCTATTATTCTTGTTTATAATTCAGTTCATTGGTTTATTCATTGTTCAGAATGCGCAACGTGTGCCCCCATTTTGGTACAAAATCGATGAGACTTTGTTATAGACATCGCAACACTTGTGTTAACTAATTTTTTCTCAGGATATACAACTTTTCACACTAAAATTGTTGGAATAATATAATAAATAAAGTTTCTTTAAACTTACCTCTTCTAAAACTAATTTATTACAAATATATATACTTTTTTGTAATTAACCAAATTTTATCTTAAAGATTCCCACTTTTAGGTTTTTTATTTTTTAGTTAGGCATTTTTGAACCGTCTTTTGTTTACTTCTTATTAATTAATACTATTTTTTGCACATATTTTTGTTTTATTTCTATTGTTAGTTTTGTTGTGTTTTGTTACAAAGGATGTCCAATGATTCAGTGTTTTCCTTGTCAGACGAAAATTTGCAATAACAATTATCAGGTCCTTTTGCGCTCTTTCTCAGGCGAACAGCTGATTGAATTGTTGTTTACATTTTGCGAAGGTTTTTAAAATGGAATGTAAAATACTTAGCAGAGTTGTATTGCGGGAATAGTGCTGACATGAGTTCTGTATTGCAAAAGTACTCGGGTTAGTTATCGATTATATTCAATAACACTTAGAAATCATTTTACAATTTCCTATGCACTTGAGCTGTTGCTTTATAGCGCTTAGTCTCCAGCACAACGTCAGGATCCTTTGCATCCAATTTTTAAAATTTTTTTTATATTAGGTGTACTAAAAGAAAATTTATAAATTTTGCATGAAATTGAAGGCTGCAATTACCAAAGGTAGAACGATTCGATTAAGGTCAAATATACGCCGTTTTGTCCTCGTTCCTGTCGGCAAAAAAATGAGACAGTCGATAGTCAGTAAAATTGTTCACCATGGTCCGGTATATAAGGTGCATGCATAAGAAACGCCCAACCAAACTCACAGAGCTTCCGGCAAGTCACTATCGATGTCTGTGGCCTAGCGTTGCCCTGATGAAACGAAATTCCTCTCTTGTTGGTCAAAGCTGTCCGCTTCTGGGCGATTGCTTCCTTCAGAGTGTCCAATTGTTTAGAGCACAGTTCCCAGTTAAGAGTTTTGCCGTATGGGAGCAGCTTAGAATTCCCTGCCAATCCCACCAAGCACACAGCAAAATTTTCCTGGCCGTCAATCTAGGCGTAAGTGATCCATTTTTCATTGCCAGTCACCAACCGCTTCAGAAATAGGTCGATATTGTTTTGCGATTCGCAAATGGAAATTTGGTCCATTAGGTCTTCTTGCGTTAACTCGTGTGGCACCCATACATCAAGCTTCTTTTCGTTTCTCGCCCTACTCAAATGGTTCCAAACGGTTTATTGTGCAATCGTTAGATCTTGGGCAATCGAAACTGTTCTTACATGACGGTCAAACTCGAAAATGTCCATGGTTTTATCGATATTTTCGAAAATTGGCCTTCCATTCCATGTGCATGACTCACTTTAACAGTATCAGAACCATACTTTACAATTCAGCCACCTGGCTTGCCAATCACAAAACTGTCAGACATTTTTTTTTAGTACGAAATGTCATCCTTCTAACACCATCTAGAAAAATAATGGAGTTTGTTTACTACGCCTAATATAAATTCGAGCACATAAGTCACGTCATTAAGAAAATCAGGGTTACTCCCTGCAGCTAATTCCGAGCTTTTAATATGGTGGCCCGATGTAATGAGACGGAACTGTTCTTATTTATTAGGAATGTGTACTTCTCTGCGGCTCAGCACTGGAAAAAGGCAAAAGGGATTTGCACGGTACCTATTTTTTTAATGAGATCTTTGTCTCGATTTTAGTTAATTTCCTCAGTAATGGGAGTTGGAGTCGCCGGAGCTTCTGAACGTCGTTTCCACTGAGGAAGTTTGAGTTCTCTCAGCTCAGGATGTTCAGTTGAAAGCTAGACCTTCTAGCTAGTAGCTTAGGGAACCCTTTTCTGACGAATATTAAAAAAGCTGGTTTTTACTTCTCGTCTTTTGCGAGACTGAGACTGAAGTTGGTATCTAAATGCTTTGCAATATATGTACATATGTATTATAACCCTAACGTAAGGCAAAGGTCAAATCTATACCCAAGAACACATGTTGCGTTTCCTTCATTGCTTATATTCAAGGTAAGAACACTTACATTCTTAATATTGAGTTCAATTTCCTTTGTTACAAACAAACTAAACATCAATTTGTTTAATAGATATCCAATCAATAAAATTCGGTAAATTGCTGCGTTTGGTGGAAATGTGAAGGGATATATGTGAGTAGAAAAAATGTGATTAAAAAAACCACTAGGCGGATGGCGCAATGTTCACGCAAGTGAGGAAAGTTTTTGGCTGCCATTTACCTGGGTGTGGCTAGAAACGATAGTTTTACATTTTTTTTGGTTCAAGCAGCTCAAAACTACCGCTTTTAGACTAAGTGTCCACTGCGAAGCCAACAAACATCCGTTTGGAGACGAGCTACGAATAAGAAAGGGTGGGGTTCGCAACTCGCCAAATTTACTCCAATCAAAAACCTATCAAAGTCTCAGATGAGGGATTCCCCTTTTTGATGACAACCCCAGCAAATTTTTTATGGATCACGATTTGAGCACATGTACCTTGAATGTTCGTTACTTTAACTGGGAAGGTGCCGCTGCCCGGTTCATTGATGTCATCAAAAGAATAAAGAAGTGCAATGGACGGGACAAACTAGTAGATCATTGTGAAGTTTACTTCAGCGGCCATATAAAGGAGCGCAAATTTGGTGTTGGATTTGTTGGGGAGAGAGAGAGAGGGAGAGAGACTCTGTCCCCAAATAATGACGTTCACCCCGGTAGATGAGCATCTTTCGATTTGCGCCCATGCCCCGATGCAAGAGAAGAACGATCTGCCTAAGGACACTTTCTATGAGCGCTGTCCCCGCCATGATATTAAAATTCGTGCTTGGCGACTTTAACGCCAGAGTGGGCAAAAAAGCTATAAACATTCGGGAAATTCAGCATCCGTGGCGAAAAATTCCAAAACGGGTTGAGAGCTGGTACAGTGGGAAATGTCGATCTGTTGTGAAAAAAACAGACTGCCTACCTCGCAGCTTTGAGATCGACGACAACACGTGTGGGGTTTGATAGATTTCGACTGTAGGTAGGATTGGGAAGGCACTCTCCGAGCCGTTCCATACCAAACGAAGTTTCAGGTGAGGAGATGCCTGCTGATTGAAAGAGGTACAATAATCTAAAAGAGTGTCATTGATATTGGCATTATTGGGCTCAACAACCGTGTCGTGAGTTCTGACAAGACGACATATCTGTTGTCATCAAACAAACAGTCGACGCATTAAGGCCCTGCATTAATAGCAATAATTTGTCAGCCAACAAATCCAACGCAGAACAACTTTTGTCAACAGCTGATACGTTAGACTGAGTAGGAATTAGAAAAGTACAGTCTATTCTCGACGAACTAAAACTAAACTCTACAAATAGCACATCATTCCCCTCTCACTATTTGGTGCGGAGGTTTGGACCATATTCTATGAAGCGTCCTTGGGAGTCTACGAGCTGGATGAGTTATACGATAGCATTGATATAGCAAATCAAGAGTCAGCGTCTACGCTGGTTAGACCATGTTGTCCGTATGAATGAAAGTATTTTAAGGAAGCCCTCTCCGGTGAAAGCAGAGGAAAGTGAAGGCCTCCACTCTCTTAGAAGGTTGAATAGGAGATCGACCTGGTTTCCCTTGGTATTTCCAACTGGCGAAACAAAAACAATGGCGAGATGAGCCGAATGGTGCGCTACTGTTGATTCGGCTATAATCACATAAGCGGTGTCCACGCGAATGAGGAAGAAAAGAAAGCAGCCACATTAGTCAGTTATGCGTGTCCGTGATATTCGAAATTATTTTTGCCCTTATCATATAAATCTTATTTAGACAATTGGAACTATTTTAAAACTAACTGTAATTAGGTATATGCTTTCTTACTTTAAATTGTATTTTTAGCTTAACTAATAACTAGGTCAACCAATGGGGTGTCGCCAATTTAGGCATGAAATCCATAACCACAAATTATGTTCGCTTACTGACTTCAATACACAGACTTGGGTTTACCGACGGAAGTATCGTAAAAACCACTCGCAATGCTACATACAAATTAACACAAAACCGTAAAATTACTGCCTTAAGAAATGAAAGGTTACAATTGCTTTATGCCTACATATGTGCATGTAAAAATGTCACAACTAGTAAAGAAAAAGAAGAAAAACAAAATACGAATTTTCTGTGAGGATTTTATGGGCAGTGCTTCAAAAAAATCTACGGTAAAGAAGATTAGGGGGTTATTGAAATCCGCTTCGGCAAAACTGGTTTTCGAGCTGAAAAATCTTTTTTTTTGACCATTAAAAATCTGTCAGGCGAAAATACAATACATAGAAAAATATCACTGAAAACTACTTAAAAATTCGCGTACCACTTATTCCGATTGGTGCCTGCACTTGTTTGCCAGATATAATTTTTTTTTATCGAAGTGGAAGGTAATTTTTTATCATAACAATGCCAAAAAAAAAAAACACAACACGAAGAATAATCAAAAATATTCAATCTATCGTAGAAAAAATTTCACTTTCTAATAAAAATTAGAAATAATGTAAATGAAACTACCGCCGCCTCGCAGACCCAACGAAATATCGCTAGATTGGTTGGAAGAGAAGTTTAAAATATTGAACGGGGCAGAGCTCCGCCTCCTATTTGTGGTATGCGTTACGCAATGATAATAACCGTTCATCTATTGCGGCCGCCTTTCAACATATTGTAGTATGGGGAAGAGAAATTATATTGGTTTATAGCACCACTGCTGGGAATAATTTTGTTCTCTGATTTTCTGCTGGGTATAATCCTGTTTTAATTAATGCTTAAGAAAACACTGAGCTTTGGAAAGTTTTTTCCGTTGTTTGAATTAAAAAACAAAATGCCGCCAATAATTCCGGATTAGATCTTTAAAGTTAATGGCCGAGCAAGAACTGTTTGGCTTAAAAAGGGTGATTTTTTAGCTATTATTAATTTGGCAACCCTGGTTTAAACAGCTGATGCACGTTTCGTGTTTTGTATCACTGTCAAACATTTTCAGTTTGGTCTTTCATACGAACAACCCTTACAAATTATTGAATTTAATTATCAAAATGAGCGCGCTTCGAAGCCCATTTTTGGATTAATGGGTGCGTAAATAAATGGATTTTGGAGGGTAGATCAGCCAGAAGCTACGAATGCATCCAAAAAAAGTCACAGTTTGGTGCGGTTTAGGGGCTGATGGCATCGTTGGACCGTACTTCTTCAAAGATGATGCGAATCGTAATGTAACTGTCAATGGTGAGCGCTGCCGTTAGATGATATCAAAAGTTTTTTTTCCCAAAATGCAAGAGCTTGACTTGCATGACATATGATTTCAACAAGACGGTGCCACGCGCCACACAGCACGCACTACAACGGACTTTTCTGAGAGGCGAATT